GTCTGCCGCGCCATGTGGTACCTCCGGGGCAGGCGGGAATCGAACTCATGCGGAAGTGGCTTAAGCTTCTTCGTGTTGTGCTTTAACCCGCTGCGCCACCAGGGAGGGCCCCTCAAGGAAGTTTTTAAGAAAGGATGTCGCACTGAGAACTGCCTAATGGTGTGTGTGTGTGTGATTACTCACATCCCTGTGTCTGCATCCACACACCACACTATGATATGGGGAGCAGACTGGCTATTTTAGATTGGGGGGTGGCCCTTGAGGATGGGCCAGGGTGGCTCTTGCAGATGGGGCGGTGGCTGCAATCTACATCCCCTCCCCTCAGGTCTCTGCCTGCCCCTCTCTGGCCCTGCAGAATCTCTTTCCTCACCTGTAAAATGCGGGACACAGTCTGAACCTCACAGAGCTGTCTCATGAACCAGACGGGATAATGTTTGTGAAGTGCCTAGTGTTGGGTCCTGCACCCTGTCAGGGCCGGGGACCGAAGCAGATTATTTTTCCTGCATAAATGTTCGCTTTGAAAGGATGTTAGATCTACAGAAAAAGTGCAGAGATGGGCAGTTTGTACACAAACCCAGTCGGTTCCCACATTGTCTCTCACGGCACCAGAACCCAGGAAGCAGCTTCGGAACACCCTGCTAAGTAAACCCTAGAGTTCCTTCAGTGGTAGCGTTTTAAATTATTCCCCGGGCAGGAAGCTTAGTGCCGCAGAGGGCAGAGATTAGCCAGCTAGTTTCCCTCCATGATTAGGCTGAAGCCCACTCAGTAAACACACCTGCGGCCGTGCGCACACCTGAGAGGGAGCTGGATCCCTTCACCTGGCCAAAGCCCTGCTTACCCCACTTCTCCAAAAACAAGGAAACAGGTTGGGTTACTTCTGAAGCCACGAAGAACACTTTTCTTTTTGAAGGCAAGGCTGTTTACACTCAGCGGTTTTGGGGCGCTCAGAGACCCCACCGACCACCCCAGGGCTCAGTGGGGCAGCCCCGCACCCGGTGATGTGCGCCTGGCGGTTCCCGGTGTATGAGATGTGACCGCAGCTGGTGGGGCCGGGAGCCAGGACGAGAGGCCCAGGGGAACCCAGGAAGAGCCAGGGGCACACGCCGGTTCCAAGAAGGATGTGCACAGGCAGGGTGCTGCCGGCAGGGCTCGGTGGTGCTGGGGGGCAGGGAAGCGTCTCCCGGCCCCGTTCACTGGGGGGCAGCAACTGAACTGGAGAAAGGAAAGAGTGACTGGGACAAGAGGAAGGCTTTCCCTGTGCGCACATCAGCTTTGGAAGGGTGACAGTCCCGGCCGTCGGCAATGCCCCGGGCAAGAAATCCAGGTGGTGATGTGGGTTGGGAATGTATCCGCAAGAATTAAATCCTGATGGAAGAGCATGTTGAGACGAGAACCAAAGACCTTCGATAAAGGTAGGCGCTGGGGCGGTGGGAGACACCCCGAAAACAGCAAAGCAGGAGGTGCGCCCTATGCATCTGTCCACTTGGGGTTCATCCGTAGCCCACAGCATAGCCTGGACGTTAGTAAACAAGTGTTTCCGTGAGTCCCGAGTAAATGAATTGAACTCAAAGGGGTCGTTGGGTGCTTAGCAGGAAACCGGGCAGAGGGCAGGCAGGTTTCCTGTCCACTTGGGCAAACAGGTGAAGGAGTCTTGGGGCTTCAGTGGACTTTTATAGGCCTTTAATGCTCTCCCCGAGGGGCACTAAAGCTGGCCAAGGACAGTGCCCCTATTGTTCACAGTCACAGGGCCAAGGTGTTGCTCTGTTTCGCCTGGGCTGTTCATCCTCACCAGCAGCAGTCTTTGGCTTCAGCCCCCAAT